CGGCTGTTGAGACTGCTGACCCTGACGACCTGAATGATCACCCCAAAAACTCTAGAGCGGCGGTGCACTGATAGGAGCTAGTGGTGCACTGTAGGACTGCTGATCAGAATACTGCATATGAGAACCACGGCCACCTGAAGCACCGTGAGAAACCTGAAGCGCTGAATGAAACAGCCTGGAAGGATGGCCCCTACCAATGAAACACCACGGAACTTGCCCGAATGACGAGGCCTCTTGTCAGACCCCTGACTACTCCCTTGTGACAGAACCATCTCCACTCTCTTGGCCACATTGGCCGCATCCTGAAAGGAAATCTCGCTCTCTGTCTCCTTAGCCATCTGTAATCGAATAGGCTGAACGAGTCCTTCAATGAACCTCCTCACTCTCTCTCTCTCTGTGGGCAGTATATGGAGAGCATGATGGCCAAGTCAATAAATCTGGTCTCGTACTGAGTAACTGCCATAGAACCCTGCTGGAGACGCTCAAACTGCCTCCTATAGCTCTCCCTCTGAGTGTCAGGAAGAAACTTCTCCAGGAATAGCTGAGAAAACGGATCCCAAGTCAGAGCTAGTGACCCAACTAGTCTAGCCAATAATAATCTCTCCACCAAGCCTAGGCGGATCTAGACAGTCGAAAAGCAGCGAAGTCGGCCCCATTGGTCTCCACTATCCCCATGTTCCTGAGAACCTCATGATAACTGTCTAAATAATCCTGGGGATCCTCAGAAGATGCACCGCTAAAAGTGGTAGTGAAGAGCTTGGTGAACCTGTCCAACCTCCACAAAGCCTCCGAAGACGTAGCTGATCTATCACCGGTCTGTACTGCTGCTCGGCTGAAGAAGCGGTACGTGACCTCACAATCCACGAAAGAACAAGAGTAGAGGGTTCAATTTAGCATTGAGAGAACAAAAATCGCACGATAGGAAAGAATAGATGTGAAGTTTTTCCTAACTCTGTAGCCTCTAGGGGATAAATACTGACATCTCCATACCGATCCCTTAGACTCTACTAAGCTTGTCCGTGAATTGTGAGACCTAAGTAACCTAGAGCTCTGATACCAACTTGTTACGATCCGGATATCCCACCCTCGGGAGTCGTGATGGCGCCTACTCATGAAAGCTAGGCAAGCCAAGTATTATAAATTCATTACCCTTTTTATTAAGCATGTTCAACAATTCAAAGTAATAAGTGATTAAACATCGGAATAAATTAAACAACCAGAAATGCGGAAGACGAAAACTTAATAGTTTAACCAAACATTGCTACATAATCTGAAGTACTATACTACCTAGAATTTGGTGTCATAATTTCACAAACTGTCTAAGAGTACTACAAATAAAGGGTCCAAAGAATAAATACAAACTGTCTCAGAAATACATAAAAGAAATAGTAGAGAAAGATAGAAGGTGACGCCAAGGCCTGCGGACGCCTGCAGGACTACCTCGGGTCGCCTGAATAAACTGAAGACAGCACCCTCACTGCGGTCCAAACGCTCCGGTATCAGTATCTGCACACAGTGCAGAGTGTAGTATCACAACAACCGACCCCATGTGCTGGTAAGTGCCTAGGTTAACCTCGGCGAAGTAGTGACGAGGCTAGGACCAGACTACCAAATAAACCTGTGCAGTTAAATCATATACAGCGGAAAATAAAAGCAGATATTCACAGTTAAAGATGGGGAGGGGAAGGCATGCTACGGGGAGTATCAGATAACAACAAAATACCAAAGAGAAATGTAAAGAAACCATAATTTAGTTGCCAACAATAATGAGGAAAACAAACACAGTATTCACTTTCATTTCTTTCTCGTTGCAGGCGTGCGACCCGCTCCCATTTCATATATCTCGTTGTAGGCGTGCAACCTACTCCCATTTCATATATTACCGTTGCAGGCGTGCAACCCGCTCCCATTTCATATATTACTGTTGCAGGCGTGCAACCCGCTCCCATTTCATATGTTATCGTTGCAGGCGTGCAACCCGCTCCCATTTCATATATTACCGTTGCAGGCGTGCAACCCTCTCCCATTTCATATATTACCGTTGCAGGCGTACAACCTGCTCCCATTTTATATATTACCGTTGCATGCTGCAACTCACTCCCATTTCATATATAAACACCAATCATAGAAGAATCCCGGCAAGGGAACAATAATACAACAACAACATCCCGGCAAGGGAACAATAATATACCAACAACATCCCGGCAAGGGAACAATAATACAACAACAACATCCCGGCAAGGGAACAAGAGTATAACAACAACATCCTAGCAAGGGAACAAAAGTATAACAACAACATCCCGGCAAGGGAGACAATATCATAAACAATAACATCCCGGCAAGGGAACCAACAATGATAATCATCATATTAGACATGGATAAATCACAGCGGAGTCATAACAATTACAATACTAGACTCACGGGCATGTTTGACACCGACGTATAGATACTCGCCACCATGCCTATACGTCTTACTCCACAATTAACGCACAGCAAATACGACACAACTCCTAATCCCTCAAGCTAAGGTTAGACCAAACACTTACCTCGAACTTTCACGGCTAACTCAAGCCTCAAACACCGCTTTTTCTTTAGAATTCGCCTCCAAATTACTTGTATCTAGTCCAAATTAGTTTAACAACATCAATAAATGCTAAATAATTCAATCCTAATGCTAAATTATAGGTTTTCTATCATTTTCCCCCAAAAGTCAAAAATCGACCCCGGGCCCGCTTGGTCAAAACACGAGGTTCGGACCAAAACCCGATCACCCATTCATCCACGAGCCCGAATATGTAATTAGTTTCGGAATCCTACCCCAAAACGAGGTCTAAATTTCAATTATTCAAAAAGCCCTAGCTCTACCCAAATCCCCAATTTTCTACCCTTAAGAACATGATTTAGGCCTAGAAATCTAATGGGTGTTAATGGAAATTGAAGAAAACGAGTCTACGAACACATACCTATGGTTTTGTTGTGAAATCCCTCTTCAATAATCGCCCAAGTTTGAGTTTAAGTGAAAAAGTTATGAGCTTTTGAAGAAATCCCGTTTTGCTACTGTTTTAACATAATTGGGCATTTATTCACTACGTTCGTGTGCCTTTGGCCGCGTTCGCATAGGGTTGACTAACTAGACCTACGCGTTCGCGAGCTAAGGGCTGCGTTCGCATAGGGTTACAACTACCCAGCCCCCAGCCCCTCTCCTATTCTATGCGTTCGCGACAGCCCGGGTGCGTTCGCGTAGAGTGAACTCCTAAGGCTCCGCGTTCGCACCTGATTCTATGCAATCGCATAGTGCAAACCTGACCCCCTCCCTATTTGTTCAGTGCGTTTGCGTGGGTTACCATGCGTTCGCATGGAGTAAAAACTCAGATACCAGCAAACAACAAAAACACTAGATTTTTAAGTCCAAAAACACTCCGACGCCTATCCGAAACTCACCCGAGCCCTCGGTGCTCCAAACCAAACATGTACACAACCTCAAAAGCATCCTACGAACTTACTCGCGCGATCAAATCGCCAAAATAACATCTTAAACAACGAATTTAGCATTGAAATCCAAGAAAAATCTCAAAAGTTTCGAAGTTTCAAATTTCACAAATACGGGTCCGAATCACATCAAACGACCTCCGTTTCTTACCAAATTTTATAGACACAACTCAAATATCATATTGAACCCGTACCGGGCTCCGGAACCAAAATAGGGCCCGATACCGTAAATTTCAAAGATAATCAAATTTCCAAAAACTCTAATATTTTCAGTAAAATAATTTCTTTCAAAAATTCATTTCTCGGGCTTGGGACATCGGAATTCGATTCCGGGCATGCGCCCAAGTCTCACATTTTCCTACGGACCCTTCGGGACCGTCAAATAACGGATCTGGGTCCGTTTACCCAAAATGTTGACCGAAGTCAACTTAAATTTATTTTAAAAGCAAATTTTATCATTTTTCACAGATTTTCACATAATGGATTTCCAGACACACGCCCGGACTGCGCACGTAAATCTAGGTGGGACAAATAGGAGGTTTTAGGCCTCGGAACACAGAATTTACTTCTAAAACAAGTGATGACCTTTCGGGTCATCACAACATAGGACCCTCCTTGAAGCGTCTAGAGCTTTAATGTTCTAATCCAAAGTACCTATGCACTTTTGGGGTGACTGTTTACTGACAGCCACTTACATAATCAACCGATTACCTTCCAAACTTCTTCATGATAAGTCACCTTTTGAAATGTTGTATGATAAGGCACCTAATTACTCTCATTTGAGAAGTTTTGGTTGTTAATGTTATGCTACAGTTCCTATACGATACAGAGATAAGTTCAAACCAAGAGCAATTCCTTGTGTTTTCCTTGGCTATCCTTTTGTCAAGAAAGGTTACAAGTTGTATAACTTAGCTACCAAACAGTGTTTTATTTCAAGGGATGTGGTCTTTCATGAAAGTTATTTTCCTTTCTCTCTCCCTAAAGACTTTTCTTGTTCTCCTCCTCCTCCTTTTCCTGCATCTCCCTCTCCCTCTCATTTTTTTGATGATGACTCATCCATTCCTCATGCTTCATCTACTTCCTCTATTCCACCTGTGTCAGTACCATCTTCTTCTCTTCCCAGTCATCCTTCCAATCTCAGAAGGTCTACTAGGGAGCATAATCCTCCTGCCTATTTGCAAGACTACCTATGCACTCTTCTTTTCTCTTCTTCTTGCTCCAATTCTATCCTAAAGCATGCTGATTTTGAACCTAGTACTTATTCCCAAGCTGCATCTATTCCAGCTTGGCAGGATGCCATGAAAAAGAAATTTGAGGCCTTAATGGCTAATCACACTTGGGATATCGTAGAGTTACCTAAAGGTAAAAAGCCTATTTGTTGTAAGTGGGTTTATAAAATAAAATATAAAGATGATGGGTCTATTGAAAGATATAAAGCCCGACTTGTTATTAGGGGTGACACACAGGTAGAGGGTGATGATTTTACTGAGACATTCTCTCCGGTGATATAGATGCCCACTGTTAAATGCTTAATAGCAGTTGCTGTAAAGAGACAATGGCCTTTTTTTCAACTAGATGACAGTAATGCCTTTCTTCATGGTGACCTAGTTGAGGAGGTGTATATGAAGTTACCCCTGGCCTTTCCATTTCTGTTGCTAGTTCTTCCACTCCTGCCCCTTTAGTGTGTAAATTGTAAAAATCCTTATACGGTCTCCGACAAGCCTCTCGGCAGTGGTATGCAAAATTATCTCATGGTTTATGTTCTCGGGGTTATTCTCATTCCTTCAATGATTATTCTCTTTTTATCAAGGGTTCTCCTGGGTCTTTCACAACCTTGGATGTGTATGTTGATGATATAATTCTTACAGGGGATGATGCTACTGAAATCTCTGATTTGAAACAGTTTCTCCATGCCCAATTCAAGATCAAAGACTTGGGTCAGTTACATTACTTTTTGGGCATTGAAATATCTTATTTCCTTTAGGTCTTCTATTGAATAAGAAAAAATCTGTATCTGATTTGCTCTCTGAATATAAATGTGAAATTGTTTCTCTTGTTGCTTGCCCTTTGGAACTTCATGAGAAGGTATCCGCTGATAGTGGCGAAATCTTGGATAAACCTGAATCCTTTTGGAGTTTGGTTGTCAAGTTGCTTTTCTTGACCCATACTAGGCCGGATATATGTTTTGTTGTACAACATCTTAGCCAGTTTCTAAAGTGTCCTCGCGTTCCTCATATGTCTGCTGCATTACACATACTGAGGTATTTTAAAGGTACATTAGATATTGGTCTTTTCTACTCCAATAGTGATTGGGCTGCTTGTGTTGATACACGGCGATCTATTACTGGTTTTTGTAACTTTTTAGGTGAAAGTTTGATTGGCTGGAAGTCCAAGAAACAACCTGTTGTCTCTCTTTCTTCTACTAAAGCAGAATATCGAGCCATTAGTAAGGTTGTGGCTGAATTAACTTGGATGGTTCGACTCTTGTCTGATCTACATGTTCCTGTCTCTCTTCTAATTTCTGTTTTTTGTGATAATCAAGCTGCTATACATATTGCTAAGAATCCGGTCTTCCATGAACGTACAAAACATATTGAAGTGGATTGTCACTTCATTCTCTCCAAGTTGGGTGAAGGCCTGATTCAATTGGGTCATGTATCTACTTCCAAGTAGTTGGCAGACATTCTTACCAAACCATCATCAATTCCTTTCCAAGTTGAAGGTGGTTTCCCCCTCCAACTTGGGGGGGGGGGGGGGGGGGTTGGACTTGAAGGATATTCAGCTTCTTGCCCACGACAGAAACAGGCACAAACTTGATATAAGCTCAATATTGTAAATTAATGTATTGCATTATTTTTTCTTAGTGGACTTGAGCTTGTTAAGTCCGGTCCGGGTACATTTAGGCCCATTGTATATATATTGTTTTCTTTGTACAGTTGGACACAACTAATATTGAGTAATGTGAAAAGATCTGAGCCACGATTTTTCTCTCGAATCTTCTCTAACCCTAGAATAGTTTTCCATGACGATTTCTCTGTTTCCAAACGTTATCGGGAGCAAATGATACGTTATCGCACTCATGTACCTGGAGTATACTATAACGTTTGGAATGACATGATAGTTATAATGTCTATCAAATATTACTTATCATATCTCATAGATGGAAATCAGTTTGAAGAGCAGCATATTGGTCGTCAGGTATAAATCAAAGAAAGAAGGAACTGACTATGTGACAGATCCCTTTTTTCCACAGTACACTAGTGGACTTGGGAGCATGGCCTTTAACTTATGTTCTGAATTAACCTAAATATTGCCGTCCACCCAATCGTTAAATTAAAAATAGCCGGCGGGTATAAAATTTAAGTATAATTCATGTGTAATGTGTGTATAATAATATATAATTAATGTATAATCCATATATATATCGGCCAAGAAAAGTAAACAGTAAACTCAACCGACTATTTATGTAAAGATCCATTTTTATTTTTAAATTGGGCCTGCCAGTGATAGACTCAGTCAGTGATATTTGCCCAATTACCAAACAATTCTTGGGCATCTTGGGCCTTGCTTCAGCCTTGTAGGGTGCATGGCGAGAAGTTCTTTTGGGAAAGTTTACAATATTAACAAATTAATTATGTATGTGTGAGTTTGCTCAAATTATCGGTTTCAAACCCACCTAGGCACAAATATCGTTGGGACATGTCCACCTTAGGCACGCGCTACTGCTATTTTTGCATTAAGAAGCATTGTAGTTAGGAGCATGGAGATTGAAAGTAGCAATTGATGCACATTCAGTTGAAAATTTTGAGAAATTCTCTACATATGTTATAAGCTCCTTATGATTTGGTACGTGAATTATGAGCAGAGGAAACTTTTATAGCTATACTCCAACTTCATACATGAAATTAGGCTTAGACATAATATTATGTTCCGCCACTTCTCAACTTTAGACCTTTAAGCGGAAGATTTTAAATCCAGAAGGTCTGAAGTTGTGAAGTGGCTAAGCCTAACTCCAGACCTGAGGTTTGAAGTAGTGTTTAGTAGTTCAAACTTCAGATTCGACTCTCTGAAATTTGAAACATACTTATAGTTGAAAATTTAGTCCCAAAGTCTGAAGTTTAATGTTGGCGCGGTTAAACTTTAAATACTTTGTAATTGCTATGAATAGAATTGTAATTAGGGTGAATGTCTATCTTTTAGAGAGTTTTACTTTGTGGCTAAGTCAATTTCCCCTATAAATAGAGGGGTCTTAACCCATTGTAAATCATCCCAAAAACAATAAGAATTCTCTCTCTTCTTTGCAGTATTCTTCTTTATTGTTTTATTACGGTAATTTCAATTATTCTTTAAATAGCGGTCCTAAAACGTATATTTTGTACACTTTCCCCATAAAACTTTCATAGTGGCCTTTAAAAATTGACCAACCCTATGGTACTCTCTTTAAACTTGTGTAATGGCCTCTTAAAGTTTAGGGATGCTAACTGTCCACTCCCTATGAAATTGTGAAGGTAGGTAAGTCGAAACCCACATTTATGGTACTCTTTTTCTTCTTTTTTGTTTTTTTTTAGAGTTGGAATGGACCCTAAATATTGTTAAATAAGAAAAGATAGCAGAAAACAGAATTTCTAAATGACAAAAATACGATTAAACGAATTAAGGTGAACTTGCGATTAGGGGTGTTCATAAAACCCAAAAAATCAAACCAAACCGAAAACCAAACCAAATCGACCAAAAAAACCGATACTTTTTGGTTTGGTTTGGTTTTGGTTTTGAATTTTAAAAACCGACCAATTTGGTTTGGTTTTGGTTTTAATCAGAAAAAAACCGAACCAAACCGACTATAGGAGTAGCTATTTCAAATTTATTATTACACCTATTAATATGTATATTGTTATTACACCTATAAGAATCCATTTCGTGTTAAAAATAACATATTTTTAATTGAGTCCTTAAATTATTCATCACTATTTGATTCAATTATCATCAATATATCTTGGTAAATAATAGATTTCTCAAAGGGCAATTAATTTGATAGTGTTACATTGAAAATGTGTCGCCGGAATATGTGTTTGGTAGTGTATGTCTTATATTTAAGAAAAAAACCGACAAATAACCGAAAAAACCGAAAAACCGACATAAATCGAATCGAGGAAAACCGACTTAATTGGTTTGTTGGTTCTAATATTTGAAAAATCGACTTACTTGATTTGGTTGCTTTTTAGAGAAAAACCGATCCAAACCGTATCATGAACACCCCTACTTGCGATTATTAAACTACACCTATATCTCTACCCTTTCATTTACACTTTACAGTAGCACTCCCTCTTATTCCACAATATTTTGTACTCTAATTTACTTGTTGTGTGTCCATTATTAGCCCTCCTTTATTTTATAAAAATTAGAGAAAGAGAGAAATGAAAGTGGTAAGAAAGAGGAAAGAAGAAAATGGTTTACATAAATTCAAGAGTTGTGGTTTAGTGGCCACTAAAGTAAGTTGAAAATCATGAAGTTTTAGGTCTAAATCTTAGTGAAGATAAAAATACGAGATGATTTCTTTCTATCTATTCAAGCTTTAAGAAACCCGAACACCAAGATTATTAAAAAAAAAAGATTAATGTAACTTAAGAAATATCATTTTTCCAAAAAATATTTTAAAGGGTTGCATTCCTCATTTAGAGTAAGTGACGAGTATTGAACTATATTTAATTTCTTACCAGCCATTCTTTCCTTCTCTTACCCTTAGCCTCCCCACCCAACACAAAATATAGTAACAAGATATTAGATTAAGAAAGTGTTTAAATAAGTTTATAAGTTGGTCAAATCAGCTTAAGTAATTTTTTATTATTTATCTACGTGTTTGATAAATATAGAAAATGCTTATAACTAAAATCGATCAAAACTCATAAGTTGGGTATTTCTTTTGGTTTGATCAAATTTTTTATTATTTTAACTATTCTATAATATTTTCTATTTTTTTGAATTAACCTTCCTAAAATGAATCTCCTACCTTCTCTCATTCATTTCCATCGTTCTTCCTTCTTTATGTAAAGATACTTTGTTATATATATAAACGACTTATTAAGTAGCGACGTTTTATCAAACATATCGAATTATTATCATTTTCTTCCCTTATATACAAACAAATAATTGCTTATTTATTACTTCTGGCATTTGAAAGTGTTTTCTAACACAAGTTACACACTTATCAATTAATTTTCATTTGTTAAAACGGACTCCAAGTCAGAATGAATTTGCTTTCGGCACAAATGTGTTAGCTTCAGCATTTTTTCCCCTTAAGTAGCTTCTCGCTTCACCATTTGACAATTTTTTTTTTAAAAAAAAATGAATTAAAACAGTGATTATGTTTGGCAAACAAATAGTGTGGCCTACTATTTTAGGGTGGTTAGTAGGTGTTTGTTGCATAGCCTCCATTAAATTTGAATCGCCAAAATTATGGATCTTCAATGTCTGCATAAAATTAAGTTCTAATAAATGTAGGATATTTATTAATGTATTATTAGCTTAACTAACATGATCATTTATAGCTAACAATGTCCGTTATATCTTTCGTTATATTTTTAAATTATAGCGAAATAAGCACCATAAATTATAAATTATACTTGAACCTAGGGGTGTACCTAGGTCAGTTTGGTCCGAATTTTTCATTTATAAAACTAAACAACTGTATAGGTTGGCTAAGAGCCTGTTTGACCAAGCTTCGGGAGGTCAAAAGTATTTTTTCTCCCAAAAAAGTACTTTTTAAAATATTTAAGTTGTTTGGCCAAGACGGAAAAGTACTTTTGGCCAGCAACAGAAGCAGTTTTTCTACTTTTGGGAAGAAGCAGAAAATTAATTTATTCAAGACAAAACTATCCTCACCATAAATTTATATTTGTCACGACCCGGATTCCCACCCTCGGGAGTCGTGATGGCGCTTACTAGTACGAGCTAGGCAAGCCAATTAATTTCACAATATACCCCTGTTACTCATTTTATATTCATTAGCAATTTTAATAATAATAATAACATTTAAACAGCGAAATTTAACATGAGTGGAAGAAAGAAGCCATAAGCTATCTGAACATGAATATCCAATACAACTGTTTGAACATCGACTACCCGGAACTGATGTCACAGTATCACAGATGGTCTAAGATTTACTACATACAAGGTTTGAAGAAAATATCAATACACTGTTTCTGAATATAAGGAAAATGAAACTGGAAATAGGGATAGAGGAGACGCCAGGGCCTGCGGACGACTGCAGGTCTACCTTGGATCTCCGCGTGAACTGAAAATAGCCTCCAACCTACGGTCCAAAAGCTGCTCCGGGATCTGCACATAGTGCAGAGTATAGTATCAGCACAACCGACCCCATGTGCTGGTAAGTGTCTAGCCTAACCTCGGCGAGGTAGTGACGAGGCTAGGACCAGACTACCACATAAACCTGTGCAGTTCAAATATATATACAGTGGAAAAGAAATACAGAAGTAAACAAGTAAAGATGGGAGGGGAGCATGCTGTAAGGGAGATAGCGATTCCGAATAGAAGGACATTAAATAAACAAAAGAAATAACCTAACTCAGATATCAACAAGAATCAGAATTCAACAAATGTACAGCATCACCCTTCGTGTTTTTACTCTCGTCCTCACCAAAGCAGTCATATAATAA